CCTTATAACCAAACATACGAACCACCTCCGCTCCCCCGTTCCGGTGTCGCTCTGGTGGCACAAGGGGAACATTGTCACTCCGTTCGTCCCTCCTCGGGACTCACTACGGTATTGTCCACTCGGCCTCCGACCTCGCTCTTCACCGTGTAACATTTTCATGTTGGTGTCCGGTCGCAGCTACACTGCTCCCTCTTGTTCTCCGTAGCCTTTGAACAACGTAGCCTCGGGCCTCCGGCCCTCACTACGTCGCAACCCTGCAGGTGGCTTTTCATAGTCATAATACTCCCTCCGGGGGTTATCTTCAATGTGGATTACTTCAAAGTAAGCCTACTTTCCTGTGTCACCTTCACGTCACTGTTTGGGTTCAAGTTTGTAGCCAAGCGTCTTGACCGACGAGATGTTAACTGTTATTCTACGAATGTCTGTTGTACAGCGCCTCAGTACGAGGGTGATCGATTGACTACGCCTTCCGCTTACGATGTTTTACTATCACTACGTGATCCTGGTTTGTCTCCATGACCGCTACGACCCTCTTCGCCATAGACCAAGCTCCTTTCTCAAAGATTTCCTCCACCTTCCTCTCGTCTACGAGGTGGGCCAACAGGCACAAAGTTCGCAAGCTCACCCAAGCGTACAGATTTGAAACTTGTCGAGCACTCCAGCACTGGAAGTATTGGGCACAAGCGAGGCCGAGCTCATTGCTGGGACCAATCCCCTCACACGATCGGAGAGAATCGCGCAACCAAGCACAGAAGCAGCGACTTCGCCGCCGTCCAGAGGACCAATCAGTTCGTGCACAAGCACAAGCAGTACCCTGACCAGGCACAGCCATTCGAAAGTAGAATCGCCCCAAGGCGGGCCGCGTCACACCGGCATCCACCACTCCTGGTGGGTGACAAGAGAGAAACTGTCTCTCGTGCCAAAGCAATGGCAAGCCCGTCGCTCTCTGCAAGACGCAAAGCATCCAAGAAAGGCGTGTGACCACACGAAAGGCATTGTCTCTGCCCACATCGACACAATAGTAGGACTTCAACGAGTCTCGCAAGTGCTCCCGCACTGTCCTTCGCAGAGTATGGCTGCGATGCAAGGCCTCCCTCACATCGGCTGTAATAAAGGCTGCCTCTAGAGCAACACTGCTGGTTCGGTAACCCTGTTCCCGGGTGTAGGGATAATCCATACCGGATTACTGGGTTGGTAGTGTCGACTCCTCCCGTCGTCGTTTGTTGGTAGCGCGTTTCCCGCGTGCTTCGTAACGAAGAAGACTCACTCTGTTCAGCAGCACATCACTCGATGTGTCCAGTAGGAAGGGACCGTCTCTCGACTGGTCGCAAGCAATTGGTTGAGCAAAGAATCCCCGGTATTCTTCGTAATGGATGGATGTTTGTTTGA